ATTTCTTTACAGCTAAAACATTGGTTGTAACTTTCTTGGCTATAAATTTATGTACAGCTCAAGAATCTACCTAGAAAATAATAAACCTGCCATTTTCTAGCTGCTTTATTCGATTTTAAACTGAAGATTAATGTAACTTTCTATGCTGCTGAGACTTTTATATAATTTTAATTGATGAAGGTTGCTTTACTGCCTGGTTCACTCTTCATTTATTCATCTGCTACACTGAAGGCCAGAAATCTCCTAAAGGCATCTTGAAACCTTTATTCCTTCTTGAACTTCAGTGTTAGAAAAAGGTTACAAGGAAAACATGTTTGGGTTTACAAAACTCATTAGGACCAAAAGCACCCAAGTAAACACCAAGGTAACACCGAGGGCTCCAAGCATCCACTACAACCAGCACTGGGAGGAAAAGTAGCTTCAGGCACTTCTGGGATTGAAAAGAGACGGATACCTTTCATCCCTTTGCCAACCTCACCTTCAAGCATAGAGGTGAATACTAAACCAAAAGTGGGTCCTGGTAAGTGCCAATACAGGCCTGTCAAAGAGGTAACAGCTTTGAAAATAAGCCATGTCCAAAACAAGCAACAACTTATTCCCTTTAGCCCTATTTCATTTTCTATGCATTTCTCTTTCTATGCATTTATTTACAGGCTCTCCCTTCTGTTTAGTCAGAAACAACACAGGAGCTTATGTGTGAAATCTACTCTTGACCAGAAGATTCTTAAAGCTAGAGAGTGTTTACATAAGCCCAATGCACTTATTTCAGGATCTTGGCCATTGCCTTGCAAGAGTCAGAACTGATATTCACTAAAACAATACAAGCAAATAACAGCGGAGAGCTTACCACTTCTTAAGGGAATTACTCTACCTTCCTACAGAGAGCTGAGCACTCACAGAACCTGTACTGAGTAACACAGAATAAATGGGAAGAGCTATTTTCCATCACTTATGTATCAACAGAAAACCTTCATGCCAATCTAGTGTCCTGAGTCTCAGGCCAGCTTTTCACAATTTGATTCTAACTTATACACAATGTCATTATAATAATTTATATAATAAATTTAAATAATGTTTATTTATATATAATAAATAATTTAAATAATATTTAGTTTGTAATATACAAAATTCTCATTTTTCCCCTTTCCTATATTAATATAATATTTTCATTGTTACTGTCTGCATTACTCCAAATTCTGTCTTGCTTCAAGAGACAAGTATATTTGTCCCTTATATCTAAATACTTAAGCACTGAACCTCAATCATAAAACACAGTGTTAAAATTTTGTTATTACAATTCCAGCAGTGTTTCCTACATAATTATATATATTTATTTTCTATTTGGTCTTGCATTATTGTCTACTTGTAAAAGTACCATATGGGCAAAAAGATCTCTAAGATTCAATCTGAATCACTAGGACACATAAAATCTCAGTAGGCCTCAGAAAATATGAAGGTTTAAGTAAGCTTGAAAAAGATACCTAGCCATCCATGTAGGTATTAGAGCAGGCCTCAGAGGAACTTCCCTCCATGTATCCAGACCTGTTTTACAGCAGAGCTATAAGTTATGTGATGAACCGCATCAGATGGCCTTCAGGCACCAACTGCATTTCCAAGCTGGAAAGCCCCAGTTTATGTGGTTCTTCCTCAGATGGAAGTTCTACAACTTTGATCACCCCTTTCACCTTGCTAAGTTATAATATATAATATATATATATAAAATATATATATGTGTCTCTAAGTTATAGATATATATTAGGCACACACAAAAAAAGTGAAGACTGGTGGATTTTTATTTACTTGTGTTTCAAAAACTAGAATATTTTGAGTATTTTTTTCACCTCTTACCACAGATTTTAAAGGAAACACTCAGATTACCTTCACAATTGAACTTCCTGAAGTCATATCCATAAGTTTGCACAAGGCTTTGATACAGGACCTGACCAAGGAGAAGAATCCAATGTACAGCAGATGGCATAAATACCCAGGCCACAACAAATGGGTTAGGAACACTCTCTCAGGAACATCTGTGAAAGAACATACAAAGATAGTTCTTTGTATGTTAAGCACTGGCCATTTCTTGAAACAGTGAAGGAGATTGGTAAATTAATCAGTGTTTTGACATTTGCAAGCATTTTTATTGTGTCTTTACAAAAAAATTAATGTACCCCTGACTTCAGAATACAACACCAAAGGATCATTTTATGATTATTTAATTAAAAAAAAAAAAAAAGTAAACCCAACATACTAAGAGTAAGATATTAGCTTCTCCATATTCTTCTGCATCATTTTTCTCTCTGCTTCTTTACGAAAGGTGGGAGTTTTGTATCAGTATTAATTATTTGGTATAAATGCAATGCTGTTTCTTTTATACCCACACATATATCTGTATCTGTAATCAAACATTTCCTCTGGTTCTAAAATTAGTGTGTAAAGTCTCTGTGCTTATCCATTAGATGAGATGGCCTTCTATTTGTAAATATCATGGATCTTCAGGATTTTACTCTTTCTATATCTGTTTAAAATCACTGAAGTTTAATTCATAAAAGTCATGTATCATATAAACACTTACTGCTGAATGTTCCCTAAGTTAAATCATAATAAGTAGGAATAGAAGTCTCATTCATATAAATATTTGTCATTAATAATAACAGATATTCTAACCTTGAGGGTTGGTGTCATTGTATATGTGATAGATAAAAAGCTTTCCCCTGCTGTTGGCATTCAGGTGGACTCATACATGGCAAGATATTCTGTCAGTTAAAAAAAAAATAAATCTGATATTGACAAATGGAAACTCACAGAGATGACTGCCCATCAATAACATCACTGGAACTCCCAGGTCACTTCAGGTAATCACTGTTTTTTCTGCTAATATTCTCAACGTGGTGATATCTGTAGTTTCTTTTTTCTCTTGAACAAGCTACTTACAGAACAAGAATTTTTTTCGTATCATTCCAGTAATATGATTTCAATCAATAGGATAAAATTTGGTCTTGCCCAATGTTCTATTTCCAAAAACAGCAATAGGAAAGGCTGTTCAGGCACACGAAAGACTGGAGACTTTCTACAGTTCATTTCCTCCTCTGCAGCAGCAGCACAACTCTAAGAGTAAGTAACTACTGATATTGAGCTTGCTTATACTGTCTGTATCCACATTCTGTGGTTGCAAGATCCACGAGTTTGCTATCTGCTAAATAAAAACATTCTTTAACAGTTTACTGTAGATATCTATTTTTCGTAACACATTATCTACCTGGATTTTGTGCAATGTCAGGTCTTGCACTGCTATTGGAGGGGTTCCATTGATAATCTCACACACTCTCTAAATGCGTGAAAGAATCTGCATCAGCAATTGCTATCCCCTTTTTCTATTTTCTATGTATAGATTTTCTCATGATTTAAAAAGATCTGCTTTAAGTTTCCTCTGTCTCTTCTCATCACTCAGTTTACCTGTCAATCTTAAAGTTGGCATGGTATAATGGCTATGCAGAGAGAATAGCTTTCTCCTTAACAACTAAAGCATTGGTAATAATTCTTTATTATTATTGATATTGTTGCTGTTGTTTTATATTATATTGTTCATGTGTATTGCATGTGTACATGTGTATAGCTAAAAGCAGATCAGTTTCTCACCAAGCGGGGCACCATACAGGTATAGAAGAAAACTCTTCTTGATCACATACTAATGTTGCAGACAAAACAAACAAACCAACAAACCCTATGTTCCCTTTTCATGTAGATTTCCTTATTTAGAAAACTATGACTGGTCTCACTATTGCGTTTTGTTTGTGCTAAGCCTGCACTCAAGCACTGATTTTTGTAAGAAGACTCAGTTAATACTAGTATATTTCATGTAATGAAAGTCTAATCAATTCAGTCGAGGTCAAAAGTCCTTTGGAGATCATGTGCCCACCTTCTTACCCTTCAAATTAACTTCAGAAAATAGTCAGCGCTTTTAGAAACTTATATGACTCCACCTCTTTACGGACAAGTTTCCACAGATATATCTTCTCCTTCCTGACCACACATTTTCCATGGGATAAAAAGGGCTTAATCTAAAAAAAAGGTAAATTCTTTTTACAGGTGTGTGAAGGATTAAATCATTTAATCGAGGTTATTCTATATCAGTAAGCAGCAGTCCACAAACATGCTGACACCAGCTATTTTTGCTTGTGCATTCCACTACCTGAATTCACAATGCAGCAGAACATACTGCTTAGTGGCTACCAGACACATACTTTCATATATGTATGTTGTTGAGTAGACATTGTATATTTTCACTTTGGTATATGTACATGCATCCATATATGTATGTGCACTGCTGTGTAGACAGTATGTATTTTCACTCTTTTTTTTTCTTTCTTAGAGACAAGTCCAAAAGGTGCAGTAGAGCTGTGTTTACCTTCAGAAACTGGACATACCTTGCACTTAGTACAGGACAGTGAAGGGTGGAGGTCTGCATCCAAAGCTAGACGAGGTGAACTGTTATTGATAAGATGTAATTCTTACTGTGACACCACTCATGAAAAAGCTGTTATGTCTCACAGGGGTAAAGTCTATCAGCAGTTTCCTATCTGTTGTCTTTAACTGACTAAACCTGGTGTTGTTCTGTAGGCAGGTCCATGGCTCTGCTGTGAAGACGGCTGTGTTTTTGATGGGCCATTCGGAAAGGGTTTGGAGCAGCGGAGAGCCGCCTCAGCGCCCTGGCTGCGGGAGAGCCCAGCGGGCACACCGTGTGCACTGCCGTTTCTTTAACTGAAGACATCACCAGATGAAGGGCATTTTAAAGAAATTAAACTATGAAAGGCTTAAGCCTACATGATCTAACTCGGTGCAGACAGATATCGCTCCCTTGCCGAGTCTTTCTCCCTGCAGTTAAGCTGGAAACCGTGACTCGCGGCTGACGGGTGCGTTTCTCCCCAGCTCAGGGCGCAGTGTCAGCGTTATCTCCCACCTCCCCCCGCCCCAGGGGCCACCCCCGCCGCAGGCCCGTCCGGCAGGCAGCGCACAGCAAGGCAAGGCAGGGCAGGGCCGGGCCGGGGGCCCCGCCGCGCCCCTGGGAAGGCGCTGCCCTGCGCTGTGCGCGAGGGAGGGCCGGGCTTCCCCAGTTCAGACAAGTTCTCGCCCCGCTTCTGCGGCGGTTTTTGGTGCGACACCGTCCTGACATGTTGTAACTGGTTTCCACACCCACCGCGCCTGAGAGCGACGGGAAGTACCTGCGGGGAGCCCTGCGCCGTCCTGACTCGCCGCGGCCGCGATCGCAGGAGCTGGGTCTCCCGCCGGGCCGGGAAGAGCCGGGAAGAGGCGAAGTCCCCCCGCGGGGCAGCGGCGCAGTAAGTGGCTCTCCGTCCGCCTCCCGCCGGGGCAGCTCGCCCCCCTCTGCCCGGCCGGTACGGGGCACCGGGCGGGGGCGGGCGTCCCTCGGGAAGGGCTCCCCCCGGTGGCGGGGCCGGGGCGGCGCTGAGGGGCGCTGAGGTGCCGCCGAGCTCCGGCGGGCGCTGCTGCCCGCCCCGAGGTGGCCGTAGGTGCCACACGTGCGGTGCCCCGAGGCTGGGGCGTGGCCGAGCACGTGGCGGTGCCCGCGGATGGTTCTTTTGCCTGAAAAGTGAATTCCAGCCTCAAAAGTGGAGGAGTGGGAACGCTTGCGGTGTTGTTTCTGTGTTTGGTTCTGTTGTTTGTTTTTGCTTGGATTCGGTGCAAGCGACGGTACGGTTGCCTGTTACCGCCTGGCGTTAGTAAATAGCGAGTGCCGTCGGTACGGTTCCTTAATGCCGCGCTTGGTGGAGAACGGGTGCAGAACATCCAGTCGTCCCCAGGGCAGCAAGGTTCCTAGAACCCCAGAGACCACACGCGAAGGGGCTGGGACAAGAAATGTCCCTCTTGCAAGGTATAGAGATGGAAACTTTGCGTGGAAGCTGGCTAAGTGACTGGGGAAGGGGCTGAGGACGTCCCTATTGAGAGCACCATGGCCGGGGCCTTTCCGTGGACCAGCCGTGAGAGCCTGAGGTCGGGGCTGCCCCACAGATTTACTGAATGGGAAATGTTTGAAATCCTATGAAAAATAACTAGGCAGGGAAGTTTCTTGTCCTCAGCTCTAGCCTGGAAGGCTGTACTTCTGGAGCCACCCCAGAAAACTGTGTCATTTTTTGCAGAGGGAATTTCTCATATATTGTTTTTGTGGAAGCTGGGATACTCTCCGTATCTTCCCATAAAAACACACACTTGGTTTTCTTTCAGCTTTTCTTCTTGCTGGACTCAAGGTGGGTGATAGAGAGGACTAGAAGTTAAGCTTCTTTCTCGGGGTATAAACAACACCTCTCCTGGTAGCATTTGTGGTCATGAGTCTTACAAAGCATAGGTGACATCTGCAAAGATGGGAGGGTGGCTGTTGTCAGCGTCCTGGAAGCCTCCAGAGAAGGGCCTCATTCAGCACAACTTTGCTGATAGAATTGTTTGCTCAAGGAGGATAAATCATGAGGAATCAAGTTGATTTTCCAGAAGTTAGGTATGGTTGAAAACTACATCAAAGCTTTCCTTTAGAGTTTTGCTTAAACCTCAATCTCTCATTCAATAAATATATTGATTTCATAGATATATTTTCTACAAAATAGCTTCTTGCCTTCTGAGGAGGAAAATCCCTGCTTCAAGACTTCTTGTCAAATACACCTGACATTATAATTTTAATTTGAGAGTTTTCTTCTGTTTCTTCTCACGAATGCATCACATGCTGGTGTCCTTACTTCAAAAAAGTGGAACTAGAATTATTTCACTTGTCTCACCTCCTCTGTGATTTATTTCCATGCTGACAGATTTAACATCTACTTCTTAAAGAAATATATGCAGCTTTAAACTTCTTTTATAAACAGCACTTGTAAATCAAAGATCAGTGTCAAATATGCTCCCTGTAAAATAGCTATTCCTGTTTGGAAGGTGTTGAGTGTAAGTTACTGTATTTGGTCCATGCAACAATTAATGGTCACAAATGCACACGCATGCAATCATTTCTGCATTATATATATGTAGATGTGCTCATAACATTAAATATTTTATATTGCACAACTCCACATACTAAATATAGTCCTGTTCCCTAGTGCTGTTGTCAAAGGGAGAGAAGAAGAGAAAGGGATTTAACCGAAGTTTTGAAATAAATGCTTGAATATCTTTCTCAACAACATATATTGGCATCCAGTGACAAAACTACTAGGAGAATATCCATTCTAAAACAATAATGATTTCAAAAATATCTTTCAATTGCCTTAGTAAAAAAAAAAGATTAATCCTTTAATGTCATACTAAGACTGACTGTTTTCTAGCACTGCTTGGAGTGGTCCTTGTTCTGGAAGGTCCTATGAGAGGAGTATGTGAGGTGGTCAGTAAAGTTGCATCCATTACTATTGAGATTCTTCAGAACAACACAGCCTAGTAGCTGTGCACTTTGTACTCTTGGTAGTTTTTCATTCTTTGCCTAAAACTTCTTGAAAAGCTGTTCCACATGATTGCTTTTTATGGTACACCAATTTGAAGTTTTTATTTTTGCAATATTTTTGGAGTTTGACCTTTGAAATAGTCTGTTTTGTCTGTGCTGCATGCTTGGTTGATCTGCCACACTACACCACAGTCTGTCATCTGCATCTGGGCAGCGTATGTGTGGAAATAGTATTGTTTCCATTTTATAATGTCGTATTTTTGCTTGCAGATGCAGTGTAGAATGAAGCCCTGAGTATCTGCCATATGAATACATATAATTCTTGATCAGAGGAAAGCTATCAGATCCATTTTACTTGCTGCTTTCCTGTTCACCATAAAGAGCTTCTCTGGAAGCTGTAAGAAACACTCCTTTCCCCCAGGCTCAAAAGCAATCCTATCTGGGAAGATCTATCCTGCTATTTGGCTGGGAGACAGGATTCAAATGGGATTATTTCTTATGACATGCTGGTGCCAGCCTCAGATCTGGATTATTCTTTCTTTGTCTTTTTTTAACCTTAGATTTCCCAAGATCCTCAGAAATCTTGGTTTAATTGAACATTTCATTGTACTTCAGAGTACCAGTAAGGCATGGAAATTTTGATTTCCATTCCTAGGTTAATGCAGCAAACTTAAGTTTCCTTTCAAGAAGATTTAAACCATTCCCAGAGGACAATAGAAACGTTGTTAGCAAAAATATCTGAAAGGACTTGATATGAATAGAGAATTTTATTTATATGTCAGTAAATGAAACTCTGTATGACTCTTCCTATTATATTGCCATACTAATAATTAGGCTTACAAGGTAACCTAGCGTTAAGTTGCAAACAATACTTTATATGTGCTTATCATAATTATTCTGGCTTCACTAGCTGTTCTTTCCTACTTCTGTTGTCTTTCTCCTAAGCTCCACATGATGCAAGGCTTGTGTCCTAGCCCTGAGAAATGAGACACCACTACCATACATCATCATCTTTCTATTTCACATGGCTGGTGATGCCATTCCTGTGACATTATTTTTTTTTTCCGGGTTTTCTGTCTGGTGCAGAAAATCATGCAGTGTAGGTTCTAGGTGAGTTGCAGGAATTCCTTAGAGTTGCACAGGCATGAGGGAAGGAATCTTGGTCAATTGTCCTCTGTCAGCCTTAAATCCAAAACTGACACAGCAGGAACCAAGCCTTTCAATCCTTGTTCAATGAAATAAAAAAGATGGTAAGAATGAATTTTTATACCATCAGCAATAAAGAGCTTACTTATTCTTACTTATTAATAATGTTTTGGAAAAAAAAAAGAAAAAGAAAAAAAAAAAAAAAGGGGAGATTAAAGCAGCCGCTCCTTTTGGCAGAAGGAATGAGCAGGGTGGAAACTAGACATCAGATTGCTGAATCAGAGTTTGATCCCAGATGTGGGAGGGGACATCTTTCTGGAGTTCCTCATAAGTCACTGAAATGAGGTAGGCTGTACCTGCTTAGGAGCAACAAATGGATTAGATCAGCATGGGAGAACAAACAGATAAGAAGTAGCAGCTGAATTACTGTAATTTCAAAGAAGCCAGAGAAAAGGTATGTCTTGCATCAAAAATTAGGAAATAATCGTTTTCTGAAGTGTTTCTCTCAACACTACTTTGTCAGTTGTTATTATAAAGAGACTTTTGAAACGCTGCCTACAGTAGTGTACTGGAGTATACTTTGTGTATGTGTTACTGGTGCAGATCTTCAGTGTTCTGCTGTCTTTTAAATAGAAGACTTTCACCAAATCATTTCACATGCTTCATATTGCCTTAAGTGGAAGAGGCTCCTTAAGTAGCTTCCTAATAGTCATTTGGGGATGTTCATCTCTGAGCATTTTCAAAACTCTTTGATGTTCTTAGAAGGTGTGAGAAAAAGGTGTCAGCAATATTATCAGAAAAGTATTTTGCATAATATCTGTGCGTGTCTGACTTAGACTGCTACAACTATTCTGATTGTTGTCTTACTTTACTTTTCTCTCCTTCCAGGTATATTTCACCAACTCACAAATGGAAGTATAAGAGACTTTGTACAAAATATATGTGAAAATGGAAACTTCATCTTTACTATCATCCCTACATGATGAATGCAGATCAGACAACTTTATTGAGCCTCATTACAAGGAATGGTACCGAGTAGCTATTGATGCTCTAATTGAAGGAGGTTTAGAAGCCTACAAAGAATTTCTTTCGAAAGAGAGATGTTCAGAGTTCCTTGCAGATGAGGAAATTGATTATATTTTGAACAATGTTCATAAACTTCCCCAAAACACAGTTTATTCCTCTAACAATGCCATTGATGACACCTCTTCCTCGGGAACCTACTGGCCTATTGAATCAGATGTGGAAGCTCCAAATCTTGACTTAGGTTGGCCCTACCTGATGCCTGGAATTTCTGGTGGCACAAATATCGATCTGCTTTTTCATCCCCCACGAGCACAGCCTTACACCATAAAGGAAACTATTCGGAAGATGATACGAGATGCAAGAAAGGTAAACATGAAAAATACTGGGGAAAAAAAAAGTATCAATTATCTAGTTGTATCAGGAGCTTTTTTCCTCCCTTGGCAAGAAAAAAATTATCTGGCTGCTTACAATTTAACCTCATTTACAATGGATCAGGGATTAGTTGGAGGAATTAATGAAGCATTATGACTATTTTACTGTATTGCTGACCATTAATCCTTGAGAAATTTTTGGTAATCAGCATACCATTGCTTTGACCTCTCTTGAATATGCCTCAAATGACACAGATCTATCCAACTTCAGGGTATAATCCTAAGGTTTCTGTCCTTCATCAGTTGGGAATATATTCAATGGGAACATGCATCAGTTTGGCATGCTATCCTGTTGTTAGAAAAAAATAACATCTGTATGTACATTGTACTCATGCACCTTATGATTCTCAGCTTTTGTGATTTTGTGATTTTGCATGCCCATTATCACCATGAAAGCTAATTGGGAAGGTATCAGAGAGTATTAAGAGTATTACTTCTCCGAATGTACTTGTCTCTGCGTAGGGACTTTTGCATCTTGAGTTTCCTAAGACTCACATTGAGAAGATGGTGCTGTGTATGTACAATGCATGCGCCTCTTGCTTCCTAGCATTATGTTTAACAAAAATAAAAATAAAAAGTAGATCTATAATTAAGGCGTTGAGGTGGACTCTGGGCCATGTTACCTCCCGCAACAGATGTTTCAGAAGTATTCCTAGCGAGTATACCATGCCCTCCTTTTTTCCCCATGGAAAAGGTTTATTTTTGCTCTGTAAGGGCTTTAAATCTGTAGGACATCCAAGTCAAGTACCTCTGTAAACACTATTGTGACTTAAATATGCATGTAAGTGGGTGCAATAGAAGTGAATTGAAAAGGGCGTGTGGAAGGGAAGGATTTCTTTTTATGAGGTCTCTCTATTTAGATAAAGCATATAATTTGTTGCTACAATAGACTTATCACTAGACCATTTGTCATGCAATTTACAGCCTTGAATTATCGTCTGTTCTCAACACAAGGAAGAGAATTCTTTTGTTTTTTCCCCCTTTGTCCCTTTTAAATTGACAGTTGTTGTTTTGTTCTTTTGGATGCAGTAGGACTTGGCTTGGTTGGCATACTTTGATCTTTTTCAACTGCTGCTCCAGAGCTACTAATGTATCTACTGAAAGGTAAAGAAGGAAAGCAGAGTTAAGTCTGTTGCCAAGGCCAGCTCAGATTTGTGAGATCCCGAAACATCATGAGGAAATACTTTTTCCAGTCCTTTTCCACTTCTGCTTAGCTATTTTGTTTATATGCCATCCAGGCCCTCTCCAATTGACTCTCAAGAGCTGTCTAGTTAAATGTCTTTTTAGGCAGTATGTCTACTCTGAATTTGGCTTGGCAGAAAAGTGTGATTCTTACCTCTTTTTGAAAAGGAAGTTTATTCTATATTACATTAGCTCTCTCATAAGGCTGTGTCATTCTCATGTTACAAAGAGGATATGATGTATGTGTCACTGCCAAATGAGACAGCTGAAAGGCTTGTGTAGTTGATCAGTACAACCTCAGGAGCAGCAATCATAACACTGTTGACACAGCGATCGATACAGGTTGGTTACTTTAGGAAGCAGCAGTTAAATCTAAAAGATAGAGGGTTGTTCAGCCTCTTCTGTGATATGTGTGGAAAAGTTTAAAGGATTTCTAAGTGAGATAAAGTAAGGTATTTAAAACATGCCTACAGCAGGCAAACACTTTGTAAACAGGCTAACCAACTTCTCCTAAGCCATGTATAAAAATATAGTTATATTAAACAGAGTTCTGTGTTACGTAGTAGTGGAGACATGTCATATGATAATTTTCAAAGGAAGTAAAAAATGTCACACATGAGAAAAGAAACCTGTACAGAATAAAAAGGTTATTCAGCAAATCACATTAAACTAATACAGCTCTAAGCAAATTTGATGGGCATTTCAGCATTTTCCCAATTTCAGTGGGAAAATAAACAGACTGTTAAGGTGAGAGTATTCATAACACCAAAACTTTATGCACCACACCTGTGTACCTGAGTTCAGGCATTGATTTCCCTGGACTACCTGAACACTCAGTACAGTGAGAAACCAACTCCTACGTAGACAAGTCAGAGAATGCTTCTGCAGTGATCCACCCAATAAAGAAAACTATTCAACATATTTATATGTATTTACTAGCCCAAGAATTCATAACTGAGACTAAACTAGTTGAAACGTGCACTCTTTTGAATATTTGGAGATATATAAGGATAAGATGACATTATTAGTGGACTTACTCTTGACCTCTTTCATGCTTGATGCATCACAGTGTCACTCCTTAAAATGATTATTACTTATGTTAATTCTGACCTTAAGAAGACATGTTGTAAACAACGTTAGGCAACTTGCTTGCTGACAGCAATTTTTTCCTGACTAAAGAGGAAAACCATATGTAAGGCTATGCTACACTGTACTAAAAACTGACTGTGAAATAGTGTCGTAAGAAAATCTTGTCACATGCTTCTTAAATGTATGATCTGTAGAAAAATTATGCACATCATCTTCATGCTAAGTTCAGTCAATATAACAATGGAGTCTTATATCAATGGTCTGCATACTTGTGATATATGTTTCTGAACAAAGATTAGAATTTGTTGTACAGAAGATGGCATTACATCACAGTCTACAGTACTTCTGTAGGATAGCTATGCTGTCAGAGTGAGGTTAGCAGAATGCCTCAGGACAAACCGACTTGCCAACAAAGTGGGTTTACTGTTAGTGTAACTAGACCTCATCTTCAAATGATACAGCTTGCCAACCCTGCTCCTCTGTTGACATAACTGATGTTCATGCAAGGAGGCTGTTTGGCAGGACTATGTCAGTTCACGAACCATGAATCTTTTTCAGATGTTGATGTAACCGTGTGGGGAAGAAAGCACTGCGAGGTCTGTCTGACCTTAATGATGGACTTTGCAAACAAGCTGGTAGCCTTATTCCTTGTGTTTTGGAAGGTTGTGCCTTTAATCACTGGTAGGTTTCTAGCTTCTCGGAAGCTTGAGGTGTTCGTACAGCCTGACTCATCCCAGCTGAGCTGTCTGAACCACAACTGATAATGTTTAGCAGTTTTTCCTGACAAGATTATTCATCTGAGAAATGGTATCAAGATGATTACTTATCTTTGTCAATGTTCCTCCTCTTAATATAAAGTAACACAGAGATTTCAATAATGAAGTGTTCTTTCCCTGTATGACTTTTCATGAGTTGCCTCAAAACTATAAGTTGTGAAGCTTGCACATGGGTTTTACAAACATCTTGTACTGTTTTCTCAAGCATGATTGACAGGGCAAGGGAACAGGGAAAGGGCAGGACATAGCAGCAAAGAGTCCTTCTGGATGCATGTTTTTCTTTCACTTCATTAACTGGATTCCCCTTTCCACCACTGAAACATTCCTACATACCATAGAGAGAATGCATAGTTCTGAGTCTTTTAGATTGATATCCAAATAAGGATCAGCTCTTCCTGGAGAGAATTCAAACCTGTTTTGTTAAGAATCATGTTGTTTAGACAACCCAAGGATTACTGCTTTGCAACACAAGCCAGAAAACACTGAAAGACTTCCTTGAAATACTTTTGGGATTCCTGATGGAATGTATTAAGTTGCAGGCTACCCAGTTAATATGCCACACTTTGCACTGATTTATTTTATTCAAATTGCGTAGCATCTTCAACCTGGATTCATAAAATCAGCAGTAATTGTAAGACTTTTTAAAAAGTTATTTCTTAAGGAGATTGAGATCTAGATGGTTAATGTATGATTATTTTGGAAAATTGAAGAGGGGCAAGTGTTTCTACTGAAATTGGTTTTTTGATGTTTACAAAGCTTGAAGCCATGAGAAAGAATTAATTTATAGTGTAAAAGGGTGTAACCTGTTATTAAGTCTTGCTGGACCACCTGTATGTAGGCCTTTAGTAAGTTACAGAGGACTTTTTTGAGTTCTTGTGAGAGAACTATTGTATGAAGTCTAAGTATCATTTCTGTCTTGTCTTGCAGAGTCCGGGCCTAAGTCAAGTAAATAAAAACAGTTGACTCTTTTTACATCTGTGGAAAAAGGAAATTAATTTCTTCTGATTTCTTTTTTTCCCCAGTTTGTTTGATTTGTTTTCGTACTTTAAGACATGAGCAAGAGGATGTGCATAACAGAAAAAAATGATCATATGGTATTGATCTCCTTGTTTGGATATGTGCATAGATACAGAAATAAAGATCTAGTAGTAGCTGTATACAAATATGAGAGAAAACCAGGCTCTTTATGTGCTTATATGAAGAGTGATGCCTCCATGCAGAAAGCAACTTGTAGAATATGGGTGTGGAAGACTGTTAAGCAATCATTTTTACTCTCAACAATACTCTTTGCCAACTATTTTAAATATAATTTGAACAGAGATTGGAACAATGATAGTGAGTTATGCTTGTAGCAGTGCTTATCTTAGCTCATTAACTACAGCAGTCCAAGTAGATGAGAGAGAGGGGCTACAATTTATTGTTCATAAACTGAAAAAATTACTGAATCCCAGGAGAAAGGTTGGTAAATGAAATAGTCATCCCACTGAAAAAAAAAAAAATTATGCTATTTCTAGAGTCCCTGATAAATGATGGATATATTTTTTAAGTTCTCAGTTGAAGATGTCTGAACAAAATTTTCCTTGCTAAGATATGCTACTAAACTAGGGCTTCAGCAGGTGTTTTAGTACCAGCTACATTTAAAAAGTGCATTCATCATCTGCTTCTGCCCACCTTTGGGTTCCTGGTATTTGCAGACCAGCATGGCAGTCATGCGTATACTTTCCAGGTGAAACATGATGCTAGCCTTTTGTAGATTCATTAGAGAGAATAAGGTTGTGTCCCAGTTTTTCTAATCACATAGGGGACAAGCAACACACTGGACAAGGATGTGTTGTTTATGCTCATACTGTATGATTTGGTGTTTGTTCTTTGTTATCTGCTCACAGTG